GATGGAGTTAACTAAATCACAAACCCATGTTATCTCCGGGTGGCACATCTGCTGGGTGCCTCTCTCCTCCCTTGTGAATACACTTGCATCTGCGTATATCGGAGCTTACCTGGGTTTGTCTCTTTACAGGTTTTTCCTTTGTATACCCTTCCCCCTAAATGCCACTGTCCCTCAGAGCATGGCTTGGTAGTTCTTGTCTGCTCTATCAAGACCCTTCACCGGCTAGTCACATCCATACAGCAGTCAGTATGACTATTATTTACCCAGCTGATCTTACTCAAAAGCCCAGGAAACAACTGGCTGTGACTCAAAAGTCTATACTCAGTCTGGACTTCTGGTCTGAGCTCTCGATTGGTATCTAGTGCCTCCTAAACTCCCCCATTTGGCTGACACACATTCATCTCTCTTAAAAAAACAAACAAGCAAGCAAACAAACAAACAAACAAAAAACCCTTATCACTTGGGCCAGGTTTGATGGTACATGCCTTTAACCCCAGTACTAGGGAAGTAGAGGCAGGTGGATCTTTGGAAACCAGTCTAGTCTATATAGTTACATAGTCTATATAGTTCCTGGCCAGCTTAAGTTACATAGTAAGGCCCTGTCTCAAAAACAAACAATCAAACAACCCAAACCCTTATCAACCTACTCTCCCCTATGTTTAACACAATTCCATGCTGCACCCTGTGACAGACAGATCTGTAGGTTAAGTGGGAGTGTAATAGGAAAGTTCCATTTTTTTTTTTTTTTTTTTTTTTTTGTTTTTCTTTCTGTAGCCTGCCTGGGTTGTTCTGGAAACTCACTCTGTAGACCAGGCAGGCCTTGAACTCATGGAGACCTGCCTGTCTCTACCTCCTGAGTGTTGGGATCAAAGGTGTACACCACCGCCACTCACCGACTGGAGGGAAGATTCGTAAAGCTGATTGGTTGGGTGTGCTCTAGGGACTCTGGACCAGACCTAGAGAGATAGAACCAAGCAGAGATTCAGTGTGTCTCTCACGCTTTCCTGTATACATCTGACTCCACCTTCTCGAGAGTCCTACACACTGGGGTTTGCTCAGTGCGGGCTACCTTATTCTTCCCTACTGTGACAGGTACAATGAATTAATGACTCCGATGTCTTCCGTATGTCACTTGTGACATCCATCCCTACTTCAATTATTACTGTCATGCTTTTCTGGAGGCTGTGCTGACCATACTGGTCTTGGCTTTGTGGGCTCACGCACCCTGCCTCCCACATCAGCCTCCTGAGCATCTGGGACTACAGGTATGTGATGCCACACCCAGCTTCACACCTCAATTACTTCAGTTGCTACACCACCTGCTTGTTTACTTGCCCGCTTGCAGCCAACTGTGAACTCCGTGAGCTCAGAGGCTGCTTTTGACCCGATATTTAACAACTCTGACATTTGACATGAGAACTGGCTCATATGCAGGCACACTTTATGTGCCTTTTGGTGCAGTGAATCAGTGAATGGGTTCACCCTCTTACAGACCGGCAAGCACAGAGAAAACAAAGGGTCTGCGTGAGAAGGACCAGATGACAAGTCATTGTGGGTACAGAAAAGAAGGAGCGACCATTTTCATCAAGTCCTACTCTACCCCTTGCTACCTAGAATATAAAATCAAGAAAGCCCAAAACAACCCTCCCAAACAACCCAAGAGAAAATTTAAAAAATCGAATCAAAATGTATTGCCCATTCAAATAAAATTAGGATAAGTTCTTCCTTGAGGGAAAGCAAAAATTTTAGTGTCCATGTCAGTGAAGGCTCAACATCTAGACTACTTAACTGAAGAGAATCATTTACAACCTGCAGAGGCGTGGGCAGATTAGCCAAACTGTTGCTAATTCCTGGTTCCCTTCTCCCCCTTGGAGTTATGGAATCTACAATAAAATTGACTGCTCACTGAGAAGGGAAGGGCATTTTTATTCTCGGCCAAAAATAGTAATGGAAGATAAATTTGCTAAGTAGCTGCTCCAACGGCTAGGGTCAGAAAGTTATAGCCGCCGGGTGAAAGAAACATGGGAGGATTAAGTTAACAGACAGAAAGGGTCCTGCCTTTGGTGGATAGCTGTTTTCCAGGAATTCAGATGCCCCTACTTTTACGACTTCTATGTTTCTTCCTGTCACCTGTCACGGTGCTGAGAGGTGTCATTTAGCACGAAGTCACAGAACATGAAGGAAGTTAGAAGTCATAGGGAGTTCACTCTAGTACATATCTTAGATCGGACCAGTTTTAGTCCCGCCTAAAGAGGGACTTCTGACTATCAGGCATCCTGTCTTCGAAGATAAGATTAGGGCAGGGCAGAAAGTCACTTAGTTCAAGCAGGCAGAGTAAGATGAGGGTTAGGTAACAAAAGCAGTCGTTGGTCCAGAGGCACACTGCCAAAGCCTGAGGTTTGAGGAAGAGAGCCCGAGTTAGCCAGGGGGAGCACAGCTTCCAGAAATGCCGGATTCTCAGCCTGGTCAAGTGGACCTTGTCCATGTTTTCCTCTCACTCTGACTGGCCTCTGACTCTCCGATGATCTCAATTGGAAGCGGTGTTCCTGGTGAGCACTGTACTTAAGTCTAAGGCTCGCACTCCCAGGGCAGAGAGAAGGACCAAGCAAGAATGGATCTGGGAAGCAGATCTCCCTCCGTGAGTTCAAGTCCAGCCTGGTCTACATAGAGTTCCTGGTCTGCCAGTTAGACAGCAAGAAACGGATTTGAAAGGTTGGACAGACTGAGAAGTAGCACAGAGGAGAGATGCCATGGCTCTGTGGGCTTCTTATGAACTCACTTTGCCCACTGGCAGTCATATCTTGTGAGTGACATTTCTAGACCTTATGTTTTTCTGTATATTTAAGTATTTGAAGCTTATCAAAATTGGCGAATTAGGGCTAAGGCAGGGAAGGGACACTTTTTTTTTTTTAGAAGACTTCTCAAGTAATTCTGGTTGGCCCAGGTTTTGAAACCACTAATAAAGTTTACGTTCTCTGGACCTGGAGGGATGGCTCAGTGGGTAAAGGCACATAGTGCTCTTGCAGAGGACCTGAGTTCTGTTCCCAGCCTCCATTTCAGGCAACGCGCACACACACAGATGCCTGCAGTACCCACCTCCAGGGAGTCCCGACCTCAATTCCATTCCCCCCATTCCCCAGAGAAACCCTTTTAAAATTCTCATTTCATGTTTTATAATTAGGAAAACTGGGGTCCAGAGAAATAAAAGTGCCCTGACCTGACAACTCCTCCTTCAGGGGACGGCAATGCGTGCTGTAATTTTATAACCTGTTGATGGGGAACGGAGGCTCCAGAGACAGAGTGTGGCATGTGAGTGAGTGAACCCCAGGAAAGGAGGGATCACATCCACGTTGCTCTCAGTTGGGTGTTCTTTCCCAGCAACACATTCGGCAAAGGTGATTAAGACAAAGCTTGGGGACAGCTGACCTCATTTCTCACCCTGATGAGGTAGGTGGTCTTCTCAAAGCTTCTGACTGACTGGAAAAACAAAACAAACAAAACACCAGACCATGAATTTGCCTGGAGAGGAGGTGAGCTACATCCCTTCCCCCAAACCTTGACTTTCACCCTGACTGAACCCTCTTTGGAATTTCAGGTTGTCAATACTGTCACTAGGAGAGGGCTGCTCTTCTCTGAGGGGGCTTGGGGATAGCTGGGGCAGGGCTGGAGGGAAAAAATGAGGGGAATGATGGTGGGGAGGGCTCACTGGAGAGTTCAGCGTGTCTTTTCCAGGCCAGCACAGGGCTGGGCTCCAGCACAGGGCCTGATAGTCCCATCTCAGGAAACAGTCAGTGTTCCTCCCCTTCCCAACAGCTGATGCCACAGCTAAAGGCTCTGCTTGTATCACAGACCACATACCTATCCTGTGGAATTTGGAAAACTCCATTTCCATGAAGTCTGCTAGATAACTTGTATTTCCAGAAACCAGCAACCTTTCCCGTCCCTGATCCTATACAACAGGTCTGGATTGGGCAGAACCTTAGATAGAGGTCCCTATTCATTTTACAGATGAGGAAATCCAGGCTAGAGAGGGCAAAGGCCATGGGCGCTCGCTCTAGCATGGCAGTCCATTTGACTCCCTGCCAATCCAACCAGTTTTGAACACATACTTCTAAACACGCTCCAGCCCACCAGCATTATAACCATTTACATTGGACCTGTGGCAGTCAGTGCACATTCCTCTGGGTCCTCAAGCACGCTCGGGTTTGCCTGCCAATTCTGCTTTGCTCTTGTCTATGCGTCACTGTTGTTCCAGCTGTGAGGGGTGTGTGACTAAGGCGACCTAGTACCTGTAATTTGTTTACCTGTTGCCGTTATGGGGTCCACACAGGCTGCTGCTTGTTTTTTACCCGCGGGTTTCGTAGTACGTTAAAGTCTAATGATCAACCCACAGGTTCCGTCCGTAGCTATAATTGCTCAGCGCGTAAGTGTCCACGCGCGCTTCTTTTAACCGCGATTCTGTATAGTTTATGTACACTGTGTGCCGGGATACGCGTCTCTTCCCGTGCTGAAGGCTGAGTGTCTGCTGACCCTCCCGCTCCCGCTGGGACAAGTGACTCCACGGTTAAAACCATGCATGCCTTGCTGGAAGCGGCGTCCGCTTAGGCTGCATGCTTAAATCAGGCTGGCCAGGACCTGTCTTGTGCTTCTCGTCCTGCGGTTAAGAGACGATGCATCCCGCGGTGCTCCCAGGGCAGCGATGTGCTCGCCCCCCCCCCCCCCGGGGCCACGCGGGCTCCTCAGCCTCGCTCCGGGGGTCGCGGTCACATTCCGGGATGCCCTGCCACGCCTCCCGAAGGAGAGGGGCGTGGCCTCGAGTCCCCGCCCCTGCACGAGGGGTGGGCGGGAAGCCGGACCGCCCACCAGACGGGCTCCAGCCCGCTCATTGGCTGGCTCGGCGGTGACGTCACGGGGTTCACGGACAGTCCTCGCGGCGCCCCGGCGCGCGGGAGGGGATCGTACTTCACCCCGGCTTTGTCTGTGCCGTCGTCTGCTCACCTGGCCCTGGGTGCGTCCTGGCGGTGCAGCCCGGAGCGGGTGCCCAGCAGCAGCCGCCGCAGCCATGGTGTCCCCGGTCACTGTGGTGAGTGCGCGAGCGCGCGAGCCGCGGCCGGAGCTCCCCGGGCCTGGGACGAGGCTGGCGGCAGCTGCAAGCCGGGCCGCCCGGGGGAGCGGAGGAAGCTGGTGCACCATCGCCCCTGCACCCCCGCCGCCAGGGAAGCGGCGGCTGTCACGGCCTCCTGCTCCTCACTCACGCAGCAGCAGCACCCCCTCCTCCTCCTCCTCCGCCGCCCGCTCGCCGGCGGGAGGGAGGAAAACATTGTGCACGTGACTCGGAAGCGTGACTGGTGTTGATCCATCCGTGTGTGCATGTGTGCGTGCGTGTGTGCGCGCGCGCGTGTGCATGCGTGTGCATGTGCGTGCGTGTGTGGCGGGCGGGGAGGGGTCGACCTCTTGGGAATCCTGCCCCAGGTTGGTTCCACCGTCCTCTCGCAGGCGCAGGGGGTGACGCCTCAGTCTGAGGCTAGGTGACGGTGGGCTGCTCTCCTCTCGTCTTGACCTCCCTTTTCAGACTTTTTTTAATCAGCCCCAACCTCTTTCTTCGGCTTGCCTCCGCACTCTGTCATGATTTCACCACCTACTGCCAGTTTCTTCTAGAAGACATGGGCTTGGGTGAGGAGGGGCGAGCGAAGTTGGTGTTCCCGAGGGCTGACAGGTGGAGATGGGCGTCCTCTGGGGGTCTGCTCCCTACCTTGACCATGCCCTCAGGCTGGGTACCCCTGGTAAGGGAGTTTGCGTGGGAAGGGGGTGTCTGGGGTGCTTTCTTCTCTCACCTCTGGCAGAACAAGAGCAGGGTTACTCCCAGGACCCGATGCGTGTCTCTTCTGTACCCTTCCCCAGGTAGCTCCAGGTACCTGGTAGCCTGGGAATCTGAGTGTGTCCTGTGGGAATAGCTTGCTCACCCAGCCTGAGCACTTTAGGTGAAGTCTGGGGACTATTGGGAACCCCAGCTGCTCCAGCTCACCCTCAGAAACCCTGAACTAGCAACCCAAGGGGAGGAGCTTCGGGAGGACCATCGGACATCTGCAGCCTCTCCTCCCCCAGCTCGGACAGACGGTGCCTGCAGTGGCCTTGAGTAAAACCTTTCTTTAGCTGCCCTCCCCCTAATCCAGCTGAGACCCAGTCAGCTGCGCCAACTTCCCCCATCTCCTCCCGCCTGTCTGCTGGCCCCAGATCAGAAGCCGGGACAAGAAGCCCTCCCCACCCCCCTTCCTGTCTCTGGCGCCTCAAGTTGCTCTTGTTCTCTGGGAAAAGAAATGGCTAACATCCTCCCCTAGCCCTGGGAACCTTTGGTGCCTCAAGCGCTGTGTATTGCTCCCAACACGAATCCACATCCCTTCCCAGCATCCCTAGCATCTCTTGTCCACGATGCCACCCCATGCACCGTTAGTCTAACACAGGTGGAGTGGAGGCTGAGGCAGGGCTGGGCAGGACAGAAAGCCCCGTGGGGTGGGCATACTGTCACTTGCCTACGCTCCTGGCAGCCAGGGCTCCAAGCTTGAGTCCTGGCTCTAAAGCTGGGATGGTGAGTTGGTCAGTCATTGTGTTTTTTGTGGCTTCCCTCCGATATCACTCCAATGCCACGCAGCTGGGAGCTGATGCTGCCTGGAAGAGGGGCTGAGGGACCCCTCTAGGAGGAGAGGGAGGAAGCCAGAAGGGAAGGCACTAGGTTGCAGAAGGGAATATCCTCATCTTCACGTTGGTCCAGTGAATGAGTCCTCTGGCCCAGTCCCAGGGCCAAGAGTGGATGAGACTGTCAGGAAAGCCCTTGCCTTTCCTGGTAAATTGAGCCTTGGGGTGACAGTGGCTTCACCCAGACTTCTGCTGGCTGACTGGTGTTGGACAGGCTAGGTTTCCCTGTCCGTCCTCCCTGTTCTGAGCGGTGTAGGACTTGTGTATGCCCTGGAGCCTTGGGGAAAGGTGCTGGATTTTGCATTTCACCCTGGGCGTCTGCCCCTGCCCCCCACCTCTGAATGCTGCCTTTGTCTTGTCTCTTCCAGGTGAAGAGTGAGGGACCCAAACTGGTACCCTTCTTTAAGGCCACCTGCGTGTATTTTGTGCTCTGGCTGCCCTCATCCAGCCCATCGTGGGTCAGTGCCCTTGTCAAGTGCCTGCCCATCTTCTGCCTCTGGCTTTTCCTTCTGGCCCATGGCATCAGGTTCCTGCTGGCCCACCCCAGTGCCTCCCTCATCTTCGTGGGGCTCATCTTCTCTGCTGTGGGCGACGCCTTCCTCATCTGGCAGGACCACGGCTACTTTGAGTACGGTCAGTAGTTATAGGAGTTGCCTGGGGCTGCAGGAAAGAGGGTCCTGGAGTGGGGGTGGGGGAAGGCTTTGGAAGAGGGGATAGGGAGCTGGAGGGTTTTTGAGGCTGGGGTCTTTGGTCTTCTGTTGGAGGAGAACCAGGTCTCTACACGGGAGTATGCGAGAGGGTGAGTTTAAAACTATAGATCTTCCTACCCCTCTTAGTCCCAGAGCGAAGCTGCTGGGTTATTCCTAGTCCCGTTCTCTCGCACACACTAGTACTCATTAGTCGCCAAGCCTGCCTTTAGCATCCTTTATGCCCTCTGGCTTCCAGGTCTCCTGATGTTTGCCGTGACGCACATACTCTATGCCTCGGCCTTTGGCATGCGGCCACTGGCTCTCCGGACAGGTCTGGTGATTGGAGTGCTGTCAGGCCTGTGCTATGCTCTGCTCTACCCAGGGCTGTCAGGTGCCTTCACCTACTTGGTAGGAATCTATGTGGCCCTTATCAGCTTCATGGGCTGGAGAGCTATGGCAGGGTTGCGGCTGGTCGGGGCAGCCTGGCGATGGACGGAGCTGGCGGCTGGCAGCGGTGCGGTGCTTTTCATCGTCTCGGACCTGACCATCGCTCTCAACAAGTTCTGCTTCCCTGTGCCCTACTCTCGGGCGATCATTATGTCCACGTACTATGCTGCTCAGATGCTCATTGCCCTGTCAGCTGTGGAGAGCCGAGAGCCAGCAGAGGACTATAGACTGAGCAAGGCCAACTGACGGGACTGGAGTCTGCTCACCTTTCTCCCGGGGGAGGCTGGGGCCCAAACTTTGGGAGTGTGCAGGAGCTGGATAAGCAGGCACCTCCTGGGAGGTGGCGGGCTTGACTGGGTAAGCAGGAGGCGCTCCCAGGAAAGCTGGTAGTCCAGGATGATGCTGAGAGCTCAGAGAGGCTGCCTCATATTCCTCGCCTAAGTCAAAGTGGACCTCTGGCGCTCCATCAGGATGGTCGAAGGCCTCCTGGAAGGTGATGGTGCTTTTTGACCCCATCTTTTTTTTTTGCTAGCTGGAAGAGCGAGGCTATCTCTTATGCCTAGGACCAATGGCAACAGCAGGCTTACCCTTTCCCACTTTTTCCTCTTTCAAGATGATCCAGGACTTGAGGCTCCTTCCCCGGGTTCCCCGATGGGAAGATTGGCTGAAGGTGGGGTCTTGTTTTCCTTTGGCTAGCCTTGTTACTTCCACTGTCTCAGCCTTCAAGTGGTGAACGTCGGAGAAACAGTAGAGGGAACTTCCTCAGTCTGGAAACTCAAAGGTGCCAAGGTTTCAGAATGGTCCTGTTTCACGGGCCATCCCAAAGTTCAGGCTTCAACCGTCACCCTCAGACTCTGTCCCCAGGGCTGAGGTGAAGGCTGCCAAAGGAAGGGGCCGGCCTTCAGCTATGTGTCTTTGTCCTGCGGTCTGTAAAAGATTTAAAAGGGTGGGCCTCAGAGAGCTCCTGACGGGTGCTTAACCTAGCTCAGACCTGGGGCCTGTCCCCCAGCACATCAACAACAGTGCTTTCTCCCTGCCCTGAATGACACTTTGGGGTCTTAAGACCTAATGCACAGTCAATGCAATGGGGGTAAGGATGGGGTAACTCCACCCTCTACTGCCCACGTGAAAAATAAAGAAAGATAAAACCCCAAGGGCCATTGGCTGCCTAACTTGTCGGCCTGTGTGGAGTGTGCCTGTCCTGGGTAGGGGGTACAGGGTTGGTGCCAGGAGCCTTGGCCGTCCTCACAGCCTGGGTCACGGTTGTCTTGGCTCGGGCACCTTGGCTAGCTGGCTCCCTGGCTGTGCTGACACAGTACTTGTTTCAGTGGGTGTCCCTTCTGTGGTCTTGTGAGCGCGTGTGTGTGCGTGTGCGTGCGTGTATGCGTGCGTGTGAGCGCGTGTGCGTGCATGTGTGTGCGTGTGTGCTTGTGTGTGTGCGTGTGTGACCTGTGTACGTGTGTATATGTGCGTGCGAGTGTGTGTGTGCCTGCGTGTGTGTGCCTGCGTGTGTGTGCGTGCGTGTGAGCGCTTGTGCGCATGTGTGCTTGTGTGCGTGTGTGACCTGTGTACGTGTGTGTGCATATGTGCGTGCGTGTGCGCGAGTGTGTGTACGCGTGCGTGTGCGCGCGTGCATGTGTGCTGCGTGTGAGCGCGTGTACGTGTGTGTGCGTGCGTGCGTGTGAGCGCGTGCGTGTGCGTGAACGTGTGAAGGGGGTGGGGTTGGGCAGCGTCTTGCCGTTGTTTGCATCTGTCTTTGACACGGTGCCCTGTGTATAGGTGCTTAGCAGTCTTGGTAACCCGCATCTATGCAGTTGCTGAACGACCCTCTTCCTGTCTCCAGCACAGACCGGATGCTTCCCTAAATGGTGCAGACCCCTACTGCCTTCTCCTTGAGCGCTGGGTTTAGTCGAGCCGCTGGGAGGAATGAATTAGATTAGCTGATTCTTACTTTAGACCTGAAGCCTCAGTAGAATGTTGTTCTGCCTTACCCCAGGGGCATTTGGATTTTAATGGATAACGCTTAGTCCTGAAGCAGAAAGAGTCAGTGGCGAATATGCCGTTGACATGTTTGCTGTACCTTTTGGGGGAATATAATACAGGAGATTCAAACCTTATGGGTGTTAGGTGAATCTATGACTTCCCAAACTTTTTTTTTTTTTTTTTTGGTACTGGGGATCAAACCCAAGGCATTTCACGTGCTAAAATTAGGCTCTACCATTGAGCTGTGTATTACTATGAGCTATTAAGCTAGACCCAAACTAAGTGTTTTACAGATACCTCTCATGGGAGCAGAAAGCAAAGAAGCAGAGGGGGGCGGCTCAGGGCTCCATCATTTCAAGTTTAAAATTATTCCAGGAAGTATTCTAGTGTAAAACATGTTAAAAAAAAAAAAAAAAGAAAAGAAAAAGAAAACAACCAGTAAACGGACAGGAGCAGTTTTACCCTGCTTTGATGGCTGGGTAACTTAGGGAACAGGGTCCTGACCCTCTAGCACGCTGAACCCAGAGGGAGCAGGATGGGGAGGAGGAGGAAGTCAGCAGAACCTGTCCTGTGTGCCAAGGGGAGGTGGAGTGAGTGTAGAGAAGGAAGGGAAGCCCCAAGGCGGCTTCATGTGCCTCCAGGATTCCTGCTGTCCGCCATTCTCAGGAGCAGGGAGGGTGAACCCAGGGAGTTTCTTGTTCCTACCTTCACCGCACACTTATGGTGACACATCTGTCCGTCCATCCGTCCGTCTTGGAAGGCAGACTGGCCGAAAAGCGCTGATGCTGATGCCTCCAGGCTGGAGCTTGGGTGAGGTGTCCTCCTCCTCTTTCTGAAGATTCTCAGTGATCCGCGCTGGGCTTGACTCAACCATCTTTGAAAAACCAAAGCAGATATTTATGAGTGCTTGTGAAAACCTGGAATTGCTGGTTTAGAGCCACTACATAGGAACTGAGAACTGGCCCCTCCGTCCCCACGCTGGGTTAGCTGTGCGTGAGATCAGAAGCTGCCATCTAGTCATACTGTGTTAAGGGCTTGCTTCCTCATAAACCAGCAGGTGAGGGAACAGCAGCTGTGGCATCAGGGCCCCAGCCCATATGCCCTAAAACCGAAGAGTGACTGCCAGGGATCTCCGGTTGTGGAATGGAAGCTGGGCCCTCCGTCTCCATCACTCATGCCCTCCCTGATTGGTTCTGACTGTCAGCAGCTGTTCTGGAAGCACTGTCTTAGTGTCAGACACTTGAGAGAGAGCAATGGGTGATCGCCATCTTCCCCCACTAAGGAAAGACATCTCTAACTGGCTGAATAAAGATCTGTAGCTGTGGAGACCACAACCATGGAGGGGCATCGCCATAGAGAATTTGAGGGAAGGGCAGAGCACGAAGCTGGAGACTTAGGGAACGGGGTGCCTGGCCTGCTAGAATATTAACATGAGGATTGGGAGGAATTTGAACAACAAAGCAAGGCAGGTTGGCTTCTCATTGGAGGGGCCATGGAGACAGTAGACAGAATGAGGATGAGTGACGTATCACCTCAAAGCGTGTACATCACAAGCAGAAACAAGGGTCCCCTTTATGCTTCCCCGTTTGAGCTTCTCATCGGCCCTTATTCTAGCCCAGCAATTTTCAACATTGATGCATATCAGAAATCACCCGGGAAAATGTGTTAAGTGTAGAGATTTCTCCCAGAACCCTGCTGGATAAATTGTGACGGGCCAGTCGGGTTTAAACCCGGTGGACAGTATCTTTTTTGAAAAGTGGGTCTCAGTCCATCAACACGTGCTTTCACCCACCTGCCCAGCCTGATGGAAGATGGAACCACACACTTTCCTTCTTTGAGTGGTAGGCAGCTGATGTCCTGCGGTCAGAAAAAACCTGTTTGTGAAGTGTCACCTGCCACTTAATAGCTTGTGACCTTTGGCAGTTTACATCTCTTTTATGATACCATTGCCTCATCTGCAAAAGACGACTAACAGTGGCTGCTTATTCTACAGGATTAAGGGATAAGGAGGCTGCCGTGTAGTTAATATTCAATAAAGGTTCATCTTTATCTGTTCCTGTCGTTAAGACCTTTGTTTAAAGCTTCCAGTCCTCCGTTAAGAGGTCGCTGCAATGTTTAGTAGATTTTTCTCTGCTCTGGTAGCCCCTGCCCTTTACCCCGTCTCCACTTTCCCTGCAGATTGTGCTTTGCTTATGCCCGCATATCTCATCAGATATGGCCAACCACAGACTCTGAAAAAGGGCTGTGCCATAGGCCAGTGTCTCCAGGGCTCCAGGACTCTGAGACAAAAAGGTAAAACAAAACAACCCCCTCCCCAGAAAACAAAAACAAAACAACGCTCTCTATCAGTCAAAGGCTGATAAGCCTTGCTCTTTGGTGTCAAAGTAGGCCCCTCTGCCCACTCGCCGAAAAGGCTGTGTCTTAGTTTAGTGAGTAGCAGTGGGCAGCTGCATTTTGTAGCGTGTGCAAGGACGGTTTGTTGCAGTAGGCCTCTGCTACTATCTGCCACAAGGACACATGGAAGTATGTGGTGCCACCTCCCAGAAGCCCCTGCCGACGGCTGCACCCACCACAGGCATGTGGACAGTATGTACGGGAGGAGCCCCTCAGACATCTTACTGTAGCTGCCACTAGCATGTAGACATCATAGTGTGTCCTGCAAACTCATTCTGGAGCTAGGTCTGGAACACTCCTTAGTTGGAACACTCGGTGCTGCTGCTGAGGAATGGGCGGGGGGGGGGGTGGGGGAAACGACGGACGCTTTTGCCTTTGGTGATCGTTTTCCAGCCCTTGATGGTGGATGCTGTCTTTCTGCCAGGTGCACAGTCACCTGGGAAGTATTCAGAAGAAGGCTCTCTCTTCGTCAGGCTCTCCTCCTAGTCTCCAGGGACGGGGATCTGGTGAGCGGCAGAATCAGAGGCACTAGTCCTAGCTCTAGCTAGATACTAAGGTCGCATTTCGCAGCAGCTCGGGTGGAAGACATGCAGGTAAGGCATGGATGGATTGCACCTCCACCGGCACACAGGGATTCTAATTTAGCGCAGTGTTTATTTTGCGTTTTCTTTCAAGCAAGGGGATCCCAGAGATTACCCTTGGCTTTGCCTAGGCATAAGAAGTATGCATGGCTTTTTCTTAATCAGAACATCACCACCTCTTTCTTTGTGGGATGAAGCCTCAGGGGAAAGGTTTGGAGCTGGGTGTGTCTTCACCTGGTGGTGGTGTGGCATGGGTCCTTATGTAGCTCTACAGGGTCTCCAACCCCAGCTTCACTGACACCTGGGATGTGGAAGAAGTATTCCTGTCTCTTGGTGAGGATCCCTGCTGTGTAGCAGGGATCTGAGATGGGATCTTTCATGCAATTCCTCCACTCCTTCTGCCTTTGGCTCTCATCTCAAGGATGTTGCTGGGGGCTGGAGAGATGGCTCAGTGGTTAAGAACACTGGCTGTTCTTCCAGGGTACCCAGGGTCAATTCCTAGCACCCACATGGCAGCTCACAACCATCTGTAGCTCCAGCTTCATAGCTCCAGTTTCAGGGAATCTGACCCCCTCACGTAGACGTACATTCAGCGAAAACACCAGTGCACATAAATTTAAAAAAGTAAGTTACTGATGGTGGATCCATTAAACAGGCTCACACCAGCCGAGGGAGATGCTTGAGTTACAGGAATCAGACATGTTTGGGCCCTCTACCAGGCCTGAAGTTTCTAGGGTAGCACAGACATTCAGTTGGTCCCCAAATTCATCCATATCAATCCCATGCCTAGTTCCCACATTCAGTGTGCCTGAATCCTTGATTTCACGTCTACAGCAGATCCCACGGCGAGCACCCTTAATATAGAAACTTGATTACTCAATGATGTGCCAATTTAATTATTTTACCGACCCAGTAGTTTCAGCATCCTCAAAATTCAACACACCCTGCACATCCAACCTTCCTACATCCAAAACCCAGATCTAATTTAGCCGTTGCTACCACATCCGATTACAAGCAGTATTTCCACCTCACGTCCTGAACTTAAGGCCTCTTAAACATCCACCTGGCATCCTCACTCAACCCCAACTCTCTCAGTCTACTCATTCACCAAGCAAGAGACAGCAAAGCTTGGTAAAAACTATGCCTACCCTACCTTCGCTCTGTCCCAGATACTCAGTCTTTAT